CCAGAGGGTGGAGGGGAGGGATGGAGGACGGTGGTGGCCGGTGACCCCCTGGTAGCGGAGAGGGGACCGGGCGGCTGGCCGGGACAAGGCGGGGCTGTTCTCCTTCCCGGCAACGTGGCTCCCCCGCCGCCCACAGGCTCCTCTGGTCAGAGAGGTGCAGTGACTTGCCCAAGGCCACGCAGCGCAGCAGTGGCAGAGCCAGGCCCCGGGGCTCTACAGGCGCACGAGGCCGCACCGGCTCTCCCTGTGCTGGGCCCAGCCCGAGCCAGGCGCCAGGCCCCGGTGCTGTGGGGCTCTGGGGCACTTCGAGGCACCTGCCCTGGCCTGGGACACGGTGCGATGATGGGATGGAGACGTCCAAAGGGCCAGGAGGCCCCTGGACCAGGCGGGAAGGAGCCTGCGACGGCGCAGGCCCGGCGCGGGGAAGGCAGCTCCGGCTTGGGGGGTGGCAGAGGGGAGCGCGGGGCCGAGCGGCTCCCCCCACCCCCGGTGACCAGAGGCGGGATGACTCACGCTAACGCTGGCGCAATGGCAATTAAAATCTGCAGCTGCTATTAATAGCTGCCAGCGGAGGAGCCTGGACATCACGGACGCAGCTGTCAGCACAGGTCAGCGGGCAGGGGCAGGGGCCCGGCTTCCCTGCACGCCGGGACCGGAGCCCGAGGCAGGGGACCTGGGGGGGAACGAGAGTGCAGGGGGGTGGCTTTCTGTTGCATCGCACCCGGAGCTGGGACCTGCAACGCAATCTGCCCTCGCCACCCGGCCTGGCTGCATGGGCCAGTGCCACGAGCCGGACCTTGTTGCTCCAAGCCGATCCAGGCCCTTGCCAGTCTTGCCTCCTGGCCTGGCTCTTCCCTAGGGGGGAGGCTCACAGCCAGTGGCAGGTGGGCTGTATCCCATCTCGGGTCCCTCGGGCTGTCCGAGACCCACCCCAGCTCCTGGTCACCTCCCCAGGCAGGACCTGCCTTTCTGCCCCACGCCTGTGCAGTGTGGGGTGATGCCAGCAGAGGAGGATCGTCCTCGGGCTGGGGCCCGTGGGAATCAGTCCCAGCTGGTGAACTGGCTGCAGGTCAGTCGGGGCCGGTCTGTCACCGGAGCGCGCTGGTGACAGGCCATGTTGCCCGGGCGAGGGTGGCTTGGAGAAGGCTGCTCCTGCCTCCGGCGGGGACCTCTGGGGGTCCCTTCCAGCCTGAACTATGTATGAAACACACCCCGAGAAGCCATGGGTTTGGGGGGGCAGGTGCTGAACCCCTAGAAACTGTAACAGGCACAGCGAGGACTGGACAGAGTCTTTATTGGCAGGGCAGAGGCTCGGCCTCTTCCAGACATGACAGCGGCAGCAGGGTCCCTGGATGCCAGCCCCACGTTCAATCCCCAGCACGGGGAAAGTCTGCTCCCCGGTCCAGCCAGCGCCAGGCTGTCAAAGCAGAATGGAGCCTTTCCCCGGCCCCTTCCCACTTCCATGCAAGCAGGTCCCCAAAACCCGAGCCAGGTCATGCCAGCAGGGGAGTGGAGGGCAGGTCCCCACCCAACCCAGTGGGCAGCACTGAGCTCACGGCCAGGCTGGACCTGAGGGGCTTTCAATGCACTTGCAGGCTGGAGCTGGTAAAGGCTGGCCATCCTCCACTCGCACAATGCCCGGCCCCAGAGCAAACCCCAGTGGGCACCCGGTTCTGCTCCAGCCCCTCTGTGACGGTGCTGGAGAGGGGGGGTTCAGGAAGCAGCAGAGAGCACCCCCACCCCATGCTTGCTCCATGTACCCTCCAGGCAACAGAGGGTCCCCACCAGCCTGGCACCAGGCTTTTTGCCCCCTCCTCCATGCCAAGAGAGGGACAGTCCATGCCATGACTCCGAGGAGTGGGCTGGAGGGGACACAAATCCAGACATGTCCCTGGGCTGAGACTGCCAACAAGAGACCCCTGCCAAGGCAAGTGCCCACAGCTGCTAAGCCTGCCCTGGTTCTTCCAAGCCAGGCGACCAGTTGAGTTCTGCCTGTTCAAAACCTGCACTCCCACAGATGCCCCCCGAGAATTAATACCGGCCAGACAGCCCAGCCTGGCCCACCCGCGGTGAAAGAAAGGAGCAGGGAAGACCTCCCTTCCCAGGAGGCAGGCACACAGCTTGCAATCCCACGCGCATGGCTCATCCGTGGACGCAAGCAGTTCAACAACAGTCCTGCTGCACTGGAGAAGTCATTTAGCAAAGGCTCTCCTGGCTTTAGCGTCACAGCAGCTGGCTGCCGGTGCTGTTGACAGACAAGGGAATTAAGTTGCACGTGGCTAACGCAAGAAAACAGTCACCATGCTCCCCGCCGAGGGCGTACAGTGGGCGAGGAGGTCGTCAGGGCAGCTGAGAGCAGCAGCCAGCTGGATACGTGGCTGTGTTTTTGCAGTGCCCTGCTGTGCACGCAGCTCCTGGCCCCTCGCTTACAGCCCCTGCTGCTCAGACTGCCTTGCACTGGAGCCCACGTCCGTGCAGGGCCGGCTGGAGGGTCGGGGCTGCGCTCGGCAAGGAAAGGGTTTTCCAACTACACGGGCAGGTGTCACTGGTAGGACACTGGAAGCCGCACCTCCTGCCTTTACCGGGTGCTCCCACTAGCTCCAAGAAATGGGACCTGGAGGGCCAAGGCTGAAGTGACGCCCGCATGTCAACAACCACCGAGCTCCGTGCCAGGCTCTGCCCGGGAAGGAAACCAGCCCACCGCCAGGTGATTTCTGGACTGGTACAAGCCTTCCTAGGCTCAGCGGCTGCCCAGTTCTGCCTGACCTTGGAACCCTCCGGTCAACACCAAGACATCACGAGATGCAATCTGGCAACTGCTGCCTTGTAGACAAAGGTGCTCCCAGGCAGCTTGGCTGAAGCCGATGAGAGTAAGGCAACACTTGTGTCTTCGGGCACGCACGCACGCACGTACCCCTGCAGGGCGTGGACATCAAGGAGAGGGAACACTAACCCCTGTGGAAGCCAGGCCAGGCATGTGGGTCTTCTCTCCTGCTGCACGAGCTCCGTAGAGAGAGGCCCGAAGGCTCCGAACCAGGAGTTTGCTGTCTGGCGCAGTGCTGAGGCCATGGATGCTCCTGCAATTTGCTGGAGCTTTGCTGCACTCCTGGGCTTAGACCTGGCTATCGATCGAGACTCAGCGCATCCCTTGGGCCCTGGATCATTTGCGGGAAGTCACCAAATCTCCTCCTTGGCTCCAACTAATACGCAGCGGATCCAATCAGCTCCTGCAGGTGCTGGCAGCACAGGAGAGTGAGAGCGGAGTCAGACGTTGCCAACGGTGGCGCATTGCCCTGGAGAGACTCCGATCTGGGCAAAACCTTGGGGAGTCCTGCTTTGCCCCCAGGGAATGGGGACAGGGGCTGGGAGGGGCCAGACCTCTTCTGTGCTTGCTTTCCAAAGTCGTGTCCCCCCAAAACGCTGCATCTGGTTTATCCATGGCCCCTCGTCCCTGTCCATGTTGGAGAGAATCGACAGCCCCGCACACACGGCAGGGCGAGAGGCAGTGACTCCCAGACGGAGATCCAGCTGTAGCTTCAAACCTGCCAGCAGGAGGGGGCTGAGCACAGGAGAGGAGCAAAAACACCCTTGAAGTCCCAATGCTGGGAGAATCCGTGCTTCTGCCTCCAAGATGCTGCAGTTTCCTACCATGGGATGGAGCACCTGCATGAAGAAGCCAGTCCCAGGAGCGGGCAGAGCAGCTTGGGAGGGACAGTGCTGCTGGCCCATCTGCTGTATGCAGAAGGCTCAGCATCCGAACCACCCGCTTTGCAGCCTCATCAGCTTCCCCTTAAAGCCTGTTCAGGGGCCCCACTCCTCACAGGTGTCAGGCAGATCCATGGGGATGAAAACCATGTGCTTGGTCAATTCAGATACAGGGTGTGTGTGGGGGGGGGAGGCTTTTAAAAAAGAGACCATATCTAGATCTATGCAGGTAACACCAAATTTAGTGGACAGGACAACCAGGGCAGGCAGTTGGTCTATCTCCAAGCTCAGGGTGGATGTCCAGTGCTCTGGGCCCAGCTCCCAGTTCTACTACAGCCCGTCCATCCCAAGACCCCTCTGACAGCATGAAGGGGCACGAGTGCAAGCTGCAAGGGGCACTGCTAAGAATCCATAGCCCAGGGCCTGGCCTGACTCCCCTGCTCCACCTTTCTGGGGAGCACACAGAGGCCCAGGTCCTTCCCTTCAGCTCGGGCTGTGCTTCTCAGACGCACCTTGGCCTGCCATTCTCTTGCAACATGCGCTAGCCCGTCTCACCCCAAAAGCTCTGGGCAGTGAGCATGACAGCCCGGGAGGGGATGTGGCGACTGTGCTGGGCTCCAAAAGGGAACAGTGAAGAGGACGGTGCAGCTCTGCAGAGCGGCATTTGAATCAGGCCTTGCTAATTAGTGTCAGCTGAGGCCCCCAAATTGCCTCCTGCCCCATCCCTTCAGAGTAAGATTAATTAGCTGCAGTATCCTGGAGCAATTGAAATGCTAGTCGGCAGAAACCCGCAGCCAGACCTCACTTGTCACCATACAGGACAGATGTGCCGGCCCGCAGCCGAGATGCTGGATCAGCCGCTTTGCCCCAACCCCTCATCCTGGCTCCTTGCAGAGCTTCGCCGCGGGAACCCGCTGCCATCTTGTTTACTGCGATGGGAGATGCATTGGAGCCTTTATCATTCCATCAGCGGTGCTGAAGGGCTGGACTTGCCTTTGGAAGACTGTGATTTTCCAGCAGCCACAGCTAGTTAAAATGCATGAGCTCTCACGGTCCTGGAAAGGGGGGTGGAGGGTGGGGTATTTGTTAAGCTGAAGATCTGCAGAGCAAAAGGGGACTGGGCATTTTGAGATAGCATGAGCACCCCTTGCACCAACAGCACCCTGCCCCCCACAACGATGGCAGAAACCTGCAGAGACATCCCACAGGGGAGAACTCCCATGACAAACGGTGATCTGAGTCTCTCACTCGGGCCAGTTCGGAAGGATCATGCCATGATTCACAACACAGCAACTTCCCAGACCTGCACCGTGCCTGAAAGCAAGATCTCCACGTTGCAGGGACCCTGCAAGTCTGCCTGTGCTTGGGAACGCTGCAACCAGCCCTCCCGCAATCCCTACCCTGACGTCCAGAGACCCGCAGAAAGGAGCTGAGAGATGACCTGTCCCATGATCTTTCTAACTCAGTGCCTCAGGACAGAGAGCCCTGACCCACCCTGGCACAATTGGCGCACCAACGCTGCTGCAGACAATGCGAATGCTAAACACTCCACGTACACATTCATGCTAGGACATGAACAAATTCAGGACCACGGAGCCAGGGTTCTGCCGGTGCTACGCAAGGGCCTTTGGATGCGAGATCCCAGCTTTGCCAGCAATATGAAGCTTCTAAGGATTCCATCAGCAAAGCGCAGCGAGATCGCAAGGGAACACGGCACGGAGGGATAAAAAAAAGGAGCTTATGGCCTTATTTCTTTGCTTAGTCACCTACTGAGAAACTGCAGTCCCCAGGGATTGACAGGGGTTGATGGGAGCTCTGCTAAGACAGGATTGTAGTGCAGAATCCCATCTACTGGATCCCAGAACGGCTGACGTTTTTGGCAACTAATACAGGCAGGTTTTTGCTCAGAACTCAGCTGGTAAGAGCTGCTTAGTGCAGTCTGACAAGCCCTTATCCCCACCTGCTTTCCACGCAGTTTCTCTGTCATCTTTCACTTTGTGAAGCCCAAGATGGAAAAGAGTAGACCTGGATTCTTAATGGGGGGTGGGAGGGGAGGCGGCTCTGTGCCAAACAGTTGTCGAGATCCCTTCAGAAGCAACATTCAAGCCCCTATTCACTATTACAAATATTACTTTCAGTAGCCTCTGTACAAGCCTCTCCCCACCCTGCTAATGTGGCATGTGGGGACAGTCGCATAACACCTTGTGTGATTCTTCTCCCTTGACCTTGGGGGAACCATTCTCTCTTCAGGTCGATGTGTTGCCACCGTCTGGATGCGGATGCTTCACCCGGGCGCTGGCGTCCGCGTCCCCGCCTGGCTGGAAAGGGGGCTGGCTATCAGCACCGTTTACGAGGGGAAGGAGCTGGGGTCTCCTCTCTGCCCTCACCACTTGAAGAAGACGAGCCCGGCGAGGACGGCATAGCCCAGCACCAGGAAGAGGACCTTCAGCAGGCGGTCGTTCTTGTCCTCCAGCTCCTTCCCCAGGATCTCGAAGAACGTGACGAATAAGAAGGTCCCCCCAGCGATGCCCTGAAGCACCACGGAAGCCACGCTGCTGGCCACATTGCGGGCGCTCTCGATGCCCATGCCGATGCCGATGCCCAAGGGAATCATCAGACTGACTGTCACGGCCAGCTTGGCGGCATCCTTCAGTACCAGCGAGGTCTTGGCCATGCTGATGCCCAGCGCTACGGCCACCAGCGTCTCGTGGATGGCCACCCCCAAAAAGAGGCTCATGACCTTGTCCCCCTCCTCCTGCAGGCCCAGGGCCAGGCCCTCGAAGATGGAGTGGGCCGACAGGGCAAACACCAGGCTGAAGAGCCGCAGGGGGCTGGAGCGGGACAGCTCCTGGATGTTCAGGCCGTGGCTGTGGGAGTGGTGGCTGTGCTCATTGTACAGCGTGCGCCCGTGAGAGGCGGCAATGAAGGGGCTCTCGTACTCAGAATCGCTCCCGACATCCGAGCCGGCATTGAAGGTCTCCAGGTCGATAAAGGAGGGCTTCTCCTTCTGGAAGGTCAGGATGAGCTGCTCGACAAAGACCGTCATGAAGAACCCCACCAGCATGATGGTCTCGGCCAGGGGGTAGTCCGTCGTCACGTTCCCCAGCTTGAGGACTTCTTGAAGCTGGAGCAAAGGAAGGAAAACCAACACAAATGTAGCTACGTCATTCAGCAAGCACCAGAGGGGATTCTCCCTGCGCTGCCAAGCATTTCACTATCAAACCCGCTACAAGGAAGCTGCCCCACCATTCGCCCCGCAGCGGCAGGAAGCTTCTACGTAACGTCAAGCTTTGCAAGCCCTCTAAACATGACGTGCAGGTACACGCAGCGCGTGTGCATCTGTCCCTCTCGATATAAGAGGAAAAAAAACCCTACTGCTACCAGCTACTCCCTGAGCTCAGGTGGACGAGGTCACGGCTTGTGATGGACAGTCCAAAATGTGGTCAGTCCGGGGTGAGAGGGAGGTTTCCATACAACATGCATGGGGGCATTAAAGCTGCAATACCCCC